GGGGGGGAGACAGAGAGAGACAGACAGACAGACAGAGAGAGAGAGTGAGAGAGAGAGTGAGAGAGAGAGAGAGAGTGAGAGAGACAGAGACACAGAGTGAGAGAGAGAGAGAGACAGAGAGAGTGAGAGAGAGTGAGAGAGAGTGAGAGAGAGAGACACAGAGAGAGAGAGAGAGACAGAGAGACAGAGACACAGAGAGAGTGAGAGAGAGAGTGAGAGACAGAGACAGAGAGCACAACATTTTCACTTGCCTACTGGTCATCTGGACACTGTAAATGGTAAGGTCACCCGTCCACGTGTCCACCACACTGGAGAGAGGGGGGGAGGAGAGGAATGGTCCGTCAGGTGGATGGAAACTGGTTATGTTTTTGTCTAAACTGGAAGAGATGGAAAAGAGGGTGGTGGTGGATAGTGGATGGGAAGGTTAAATAGGACGGGAAAGGGTGAAGTATGGAGAAGAAACGGGTATGGGAAGGACATAACCTACAAGGAGACAGAACACACTAACGGAAGGGTAGGCTTGGTCAACAACAATATTTACTTGTGGAAATTCTAGGTTGAATAATTTGCTTGAGGCTTTTGTGTGTGTTTGATACTTGTATGCATACACAAGTCCTCCATTACGTAAGGCTTGATTATTTAATGCATGTTGTAATGTATAATTACCTTGTAAAACTTATGTATATGTGATTTATATTGTATTTTCTTAAATAAAGATAAAAAAAAAATGCATGCATAAGTCATTACAAAAAGGAGGCCTGGTCGAGGACCGGGCAGCGGGGACGCTAAGCCCCGAAATCAAGATAACCTCTATTACGTAATGGTCCCGGGCCATTACAGCAGCCCGTAGCAGCTGTCTAACTCTCAGTACATATTTAATGCTAGATGAACAGGAGCATCGGAATGAAAGAAACTCTGCCCATTTCTTTCCGCCTCCGCCGGAAATCGAACCCGAACCATTAGGACTACGACCCCCAGGCGCTATCCACTCAGCTACGAGGCCCCCGAATGTGTGCGTGTGCGTGTGCGTGTGCGTGCGCGTGTGTGTGTGTGTGTGTGTGTGTGTGTGTGTGTGTGTGTGTGTGTGTGTGTGTGTGTGTGTGTGTGTGTGTGTGTACTCACCTATTTGTGCCTGCAGGATTGAGCATTGGTTCTTTTCTAGCCATCGGTTGATTATAGCAATGACTCCTGTCCCATTTTCCTTTCGCATCTAGTTTTTGCTTCCACAAACTGCTCCTTAAAGTTCATTCCATTTTCCCATTACGCTCACGTTAAAACAAAACTTCCTAACATCTCTGTGACTCATCTGAGTTTCCAGTTTCCGCCCATATCCCCTTGTTCTGTAAGTATTAAGTCTATTTCCAATCTGTCAATCCCCCTAAGTATTTCATATGTTTCTATCATATCCCCTCCTCTCCCGCCTTTCTTCTAGTGTCGTCAGGTTTAGCTCCTTCAGTCGCTCTTCATACCCTATCCCTCGTAACTCTGGGACAAAATGGACGTAGACCAAAGTATCATTAATATGTATATTTATGCGGGAATATTTCATTGGAAAATGTACACGGGTTTTGGGAGTACTGGAAAATGTACACGTGTTTTAACACAGGTCTGTGTATGTTCACTTTTGTATGTATAATAACTTAGACATTGTAGCTATAAGGTGTGAAGGATAGATGAAATTGTTTGTGTAATAATCCAAGTTGAGGTCTAATATGAGGTTGAGGCCCGTCCTCCAAAAATGGGGTGGTAAATGTAAGAAGACAATTAAGTGCAATTATGTACTATTCATAGCAGTTAGAAATTGTACTTATTTTCACTTAGTATTAAATCGTACTGTCAAATATATTGTGAATATTTTAGTTTACCTGAAAAACTGAATAGAAAACCACAACCTCACCTAACCGTCTTAGTTTTTGAAGATAATAATTTTATTGCTTCCTAATTACAATTAGTACTTAACTTATATCTATATTGATATTACAGTTTTAAAAAAACTAATAAAACAAAACTAAAATATATCAATAATCATATAGACGTCCACTCCCAGGTCTCTCTCGAATCGTCACAGATAGGTAGTTTCCCTTCATTGTGTACTGCCCCTTTGGTCTCCTGTCACCTAACCCCATTAACATAACTTTACATTTGCTTGTTTTGAACTCCAGTAGCCATTTCTCTGACACACACTACAACCTGTTCAAGTCCTTTTGGAGGATCCTACAATCCTCATCTGTGACAAATGTAGCCTAACTGTGCATAGCTAATGCATTAAGCAATCACGTACGCGAACATAAATACAAAACCTTCTATGCTCGATTACTTTTCTAAATAGACCTACGACTCTGCTAGGCTGAGTTGCAAACACAATATTGCACAACTCAAGCCTACAAAGGCTTGCACATTGATGAACCCACAGCTGCATGCACAAGAAGAATACCGAACAAGACCCAAAACATGTGGCACGGCTATATATCTCTCTGCTATCCTGGCCACGGGCGCCTCAGCGTGTTACAGCTCATAATTAATGTGGGGTTGGCACAGAAAACACCAGAGTAGGCTACACAGATGACGCACAACATGAGCCACAGCACGAGGTTCTGTCCTTAAAGTTAACCATTCACTGGCATAGCTTATCTAGTGACGTCACGGCTAACAATGTTGAGAGATAACCTATATACAGTGTATATGTATCTGAGCACGTCTTTGTGTATTTGAACTTAAAAAAAAGGCAATTTTTTATATTATGGCATCACACGCAAAATCGCCGGTAAACAGGGTCGCTTAATAATGCAGAGAGCAGCTGGGTGGACTTAACCACCACTCACTGCCGTTGCAGCAAGCAAGCAAGCAAGGAAGCAAGTGCATTACAAGGCTCTGCAACTTGCGCACTGCTGCATTAACATTCCTGACACAATCACATGAGCTGCCCCTGTTCGTCAGGCCAGCCAGCCAGCCAGCCAGCCTCGCTCCAACGCTCCCCCTCCCTGCCATACCACCTGGGTCCTCTCCACCACTGCAGAAACCATTGCCAGAGGTCAACACAACACAAGTCACACAGGTTCAGCCCCCACACAACACTGCAACACCACCACCCCTCTCCCCACAGCTGAACCTGATCTTACCAACACAATATCAACACTAGTGTTGAACCTGCCCCACTGTGAACAGGTTCCTCCCCACCCCCCATCACTCGGTCACACGACCTAGCACAGCCCTGGTCATATAACTCACTAGTCGCAAGCCTAGTACCATGCCGGATACACAGGTTTTTAACCCCGCTATCTCAACATTGCGCAAACCTCCTCCTCCCCCCCCCCCCTTCCCCACAGCTGACAGAAAAGAGCCTAGCATACAATCTTATATATAATTCGTGATTCGGGAGACTTATATAGTCTCCCGAATCATCTCATTGTTACATCTAAGAGACCATTTGGTTCAGACTTTATTTGTGAATCTTTAGTAATATCCAGTGATGGCAATAAAGAGTCCAGTAGGCATAACCTCGTGGCTTAGCGGGTAGGATAACCAACCTAAGTGACATTCTCGGGGGTTGCTCATCATCCTCTATTTATATCGAGTCTTTCGTCAAACTGTAGACCAGAAATACTCTAAATACTCTGCCGCAGAATTCAATTATTACTACTATGTTTGTATTTGGTAATCAACTACGTGTGCATAATAATGTGAAAGCGATAAACATGGTCAAAGAAGACTGGTCGGGGAGTTGCTTCAATGACATGGTTCATTTACTTCACGTACTGTCTTGTTGTTAGGAAATGTTAACAATCAAAATGAATAACAGAAATTAGCAAACAATCGCTGATTTCCTCCCCCCCCCCTCCCTCCCCTCTTTCCTATACTGTAATCGCATATGAAAGAAATATTCAGTTCTGAACCGCCAGCTCTTGAAGCCCGGAGGGGCAGAGGCGGGAAGTAGAAGGTGGTGGGGGAGTGGTGGTGATGGAGGGGTGGTGAAGGGGGGGGATTGTGGGAGGGGGGGAGAGCACCGATGGTCTATCACTCTTGGCTCAGTTCCCCCAACTTTACCTCCACCCTCTCTTCCCCCCTCCCTTAACCCCCGTACACCCTATTCCTCTGCAACTTCAGGCTTCAAACTTGCTTCGGACTGACTATGATATGAACGCTGTTGCGCCGTAAGCTGAGGTTTGGCGTCTGTGAATACGTTGTGTACTTTGATAATATATCAACTACACGATACCGCTCGGAATTACCGTTTTTCCCTCCATGTGGTAGATAGATAAAGATGGAATTCAGGACTAGGAGCCTAGCAAAAAGTTTGCTCCGCAAAAAAATTAAGTGGTCTTGTGATTATATGTTGGTGTGGTCGATAAAACATTCACACATGCTTTACAACTTGTTTAGTATATATTATATACATATATATTATATATATTACATATATAATTTAAAAAGTTGTAAAGCTTCTGTATACGTTTTATCGACAGCACCAAACAATGAATGTCGAGTACTCTATTTCCGGTAGTTTAATCTTTTCTTCACTTCGCAATCTTCCAGCACGTTCTTACACACACACACATTAGATCATTTCTCTTTTTTCCCGTGACCTTGAGGTAGAGAGGGAGTGCCATTTTGTGGGCGAAACCTCATTAATTTCCACCTTCTTAAGCAAGCAGGCAATGTTTTTAACCTGTGACCCTGGTGACGTCACGCTCGTAGCATACATGTTGAAGAAGGTAGTAGTTAGGGGGGGGGGGGAGGGGAGAACAAGCGCGCAAGGACAACAAAAAGAGAGAAGCAGCTCAAAGAGACGCCGGGCAGCTGCCCAGACGGGCGAGTTTTGGCTGACGCGGTTAAACTTACCCCTAGACGAGTCCCACTGTCTCTCTCTCTCTCTCTCTCTCTTACCCTCCCCCACTACCACCACCACCACCGCCGCCACCACCATCACCGCTGCAGCAACCAGCTCTTGCCACACTCACACACACACTCTCCCCCCACCTTCACTTAAAACTACAATTTACCTCACTTTTCCGCCACTGTCCGGTACTTTTTTCCACGTATCATCGGCACACTGGATTGACAGGTCATATCCGCATGTCATTTGCTAAGTTTCCTTTAGGTTGTTTGAGCACCCGCCGTGTGCGGCTTGGTACAGCTTGACACTGACACAGCCCCCTCCTCTTAGTTAACACAGGGTCACGAGAACACAGTTCAACACAGGGGATGTACTACACACTGACACAGGCCCATGATGCACTGGGCTCCGGAGGGGGAGGAGGAGGGGGGAGGGGGGGCAGCAGAAGGGGCGTTTTCCCCGGTACCAAGATTACCGTCCACGACGACAGACTACAAGTCCGATACCTTGGGAGCACCCGGCACGACTGAGCGATAGCACGCACCCGGCCCCGCCAACCCACACACAGCTTTTAGCAGCCGCCATACTCTGCTCCTGCTCCGGATAACTGGAAATCCGGTTATATGACAGATAGTAGAGCGTCAGTGATAAGCCGGGCAGGCTCCAGTGAAAGGCTCCCGGGTATTCATGTAGGATATCAACGGCAGATGATGAGCTGGGTCTGTGGCCAGCGTTGCGGTACTCCTGGGTACAGGAAACTGGTATTGTGAGTACAAGTAGACACGGGTGAGGCGAGTACTGTCAGCGGTGAACCCTCAACCTAACTCTTAGCAGTACTGGAGAGGCAAGCAAGACATGTTCACAGAGAATGTATAGCTGCCAGCTCCACTCAAAATAGAAACACATTCACATTACTTAGTAGGTATGATTCCTCACCTCAACCATATGCTGAGCAGTGAACCAGTTCTCCGAGTGTAGAGGACAAGAGGTTTCAGCTGCCCAAGTTTGCGACCACGGGCAGTCCACACACCACTCTCGTCTCACTCCTTCACCTACACAATGGATAGCTGTTGGTTAGCCCCCGGAGGTGGCGGATACCAGACGCTTGCTTACCAGGCAGCAATCGCGCCCTCATACCACATACCTGCTAGGGAAGAAAACATGCCAGTCACCCCTCAGGTGATGGACGATGGTGGTATGCTGTACATATTTATATTTTCTCGTGTAGTTACTGAAACTTATTCACCATTACTACACTAGCAGAATATTTTAAGGCTGTCTGTCAACTGTTATACGCCTCTAATGTAAGTAAGTGGTACACCGCTGGCATTTCCATCCCCACCTACATTGATTACTACACCTCACTGACGCTACCACCTCTCCACATAAGGTTATTAACTACGCTGAACTTAAGACTACTCAAAGGTAGTTCCCGAAACGCCGGTCATTACCGACCTTATAATCAGATTCAGATTCTTTCAAGGTACATCCATTGAGTTACATAATGATGGATTTAGAGATAAGAGATAGTACATACAATACCTAAAGCCACTAGTAGGCATATGAACTCACAGCCTAATGTATCTTCTTGTATATAAATAATTAACATAATCCCTGGAATATGCACGTAAACGATGCCATTTTTTCAGGTCTTTTATCCCAAATGTAATACTATCTATTGCATATATGTTTAAAATTACATATATTATCTTTCCTCAGTAATAAATATGGGTAAATAGTGGAGCATGGAGTGAGACACAGCGATTCATTTTTTTTTTAAATTTTGCCCCGAGGGGCGAGTTTATTGGGCAGCGTCACTCATCTTGTGAGTGGACACACCGCCATAGTGACAGTATTGGGCAGCGCCACTCATCCTGTGAGTGGACACACCGCCATAGTGACAGTATTGGGCAGCGCCACTCATCTTGTGAGTGGACACACCGCCATAGTGACAGTATTGGGCAGCGCCACTCATCCTGTGAGTGGACACACCGCCATAGTGACAGTATTGGGCAGCGCCACTCATCTTGTGAGTGGACACACCACCATAGTGACAGTATTGGGCAGCGCCACTCATCCTGTGAGTGGACACACCGCCATAGTGACAGTATTAGGCAGCGCCACTCATCTTGTGAGTGGACACACCGCCATAGTGACAGTATTGGGCAGCGCCACTCATCTTGTGAGTGGACACACCGCCATAGTGACAGTATTGGGCAGCGCCACTCATCTTGTGAGTGGACACACCGCCATAGTGACAGTATTGGGCAGCGCCACTCATCTTGTGAGTGGACACACCACCAGAGTGACAGTATTGGGCAGCGCCACTCATCTTGTGAGTGGACACACCGCCATAGTGACAGTATTGGGCAGCGCCACTCATCTTGTGAGTGGACACACCGCCATAGTGACAGTATTGGGCAGCGCCACTCATCTTGTGAGTGGACACACCACCAGAGTGACAGTATTGGGCAGCGCCACTCATCTTGTGAGTGGACACACCGCCATAGTGACAGTATTGGGCAGCGCCACTCATCTTGTGAGTGGACACACCGCCATAGCAGCATGTACAACACTCCCCAATAGGAAGAAAACATATCTACCAGCCAACACACACACACACCGGCCGTCAGGTGTCGCCATAAAATATATAATAAAAAGTATACTGTGTGCAACCTTTATTGTGGCTTGTTCAACATGTTGCAAACCTCTGTTAAACTGAGCATGCAGGTGTGGCATTTGTATGTTGTGAAATGGTAGCATTTGTATGTTGTGAAATAGTGGGATTTTGGCAGTTACAGAAACGAAGATAATTTCAATGTGACTGAAGCCTCGTATAATCTTTGCCTCTAGTGAATGCTTCCTCTATAGGAATACAAATTAAAGGTATGTAGAAGATGTAAATGGGAGTATTGCATATACTGTATATATTGTATTATGTATTGTATTATAGAGTATTGCATAAAGGTGTATATAATACACGTTTACTGGATACATATGTAGTGTGCAGCATTACATGTGGATGAGAGTAGGACATTTCCCTGTGTATATATTTACATTTAATATCTGTTCATCAGAGATTCGAACTCTGGCCTCAAAAGTACAACATCGACGTACCTAACCGGTACCCAACAGAGCCTAATGCACCATACAAAAATGGTGCATTAATTGGTAACGAAATTGATATAATAACAACCAGACAGCGATTGTTAGATTGTCCTTGCTACTCAGCGATTGTTAGAGTGTCCTTGTCACTCAGCGATTCTTAGATTGTCCTTGTCACTCAGCGATTCTTAGATTGCCCTCGTCACTCAGCGATTCTTAGATTGCCCTCGTCACTCAGCGATTCTTAGATTGCCCTCGTCACTCAGCGATTCTTAGATTGTCCTTGTCACTCAGCGATTCTTAGATTGCCCTCGTCACTCAGCGATTCTTAGATTGCCCTCGTCACTCAGCGATTCTTAGATTGCCCTCGTCACTCAGCGATTCTTAGATTGCCCTCGTCACTCAGCGATTCTTAGATTGCCCTCGTCACTCAGCGATTCTTAGATTGCCCTCGTCACTCAGCGATTCTTAGATTGCCCTCGTCACTCAGCGATTCTTAGATTGCCCTCGTCACTCAGCGATTCTTAGATTGCCCTCGTCACTCAGCGATTCTTAGATTGCCCTCGTCACTCAGCGATTCTTAGATTGCCCTCGTCACTCAGCGATTCTTAGATTGCCCTCGTCACTCAGCGATTCTTAGATTGCCCTCGTCACTCAGCGATTCTAAGATTGCCCTCGTCACTCAGCGATTCTTAGATTGCCCTCGTCACTCAGCGATTCTTAGATTGCCCTCGTCACTCAGCGATTCTTAGATTGCCCTCGTCACTCAGCGATTCTTAGATTGCCCTCGTCACTCAGCGATTCTTAGATTTCCCTCGTCACTCAGCGATTCTTAGATTGCCCTCGTCACTCAGCGATTCTTAGATTGCCCTCGTCACTCAGCGAGTCTTAGATTGCCCTCGTCACTCAGCGATTCTTAGATTGCCCTCGTCACTCAGCGATTCTTAGATTGCCCTCGTCACTCAGCGATTCTTAGATTGCCCTCGTCACTCAGCGATTCTTAGATTGCCCTCGTCACTCAGCGATTCTTAGATTGCCCTCGTCACTCAGCGATTCTTAGATTGCCCTCGTCACTCAGCGATTCTTAGATTGCCCTCGTCACTCAGCGATTCTTAGATTGCCCTCGTCACTCAGCGATTCTTAGATTGTCCTCGTCACGGTGGAAAAAAAAGACGCTAAGATATAATTTCCTGCAGACATCAAGGTGTAGTTATGATGCTAAAAAGCGGTATTGGTCGCCCATCAAAACCAGTCACAGGTTGGTTGATCCGATGTGCACACGAGAAGATTCGAAAATGGATTTTAAAGCCTACTTAACCTCACCCAACCCAACATAACGTAATATAACCTTAACCCAACCTAACCCAACTTAATGTAACCTGACCCAACCTAATCCAGCCTGACCTAACCCAATGTATTCCAATCCAACGTAATCTAGGCTAACCTAACCAAATCTCAATCCAACTTACTCGAACCTAACATAACCTCATGTATTATTATATAGGACATATGGACATTAAGCTTGACCATAAGAAAGAAACACTGCCCATTGTTTCTCGCCAGCGCCCGGGATCGAATCCGGGATCACAGGAAATGTCGCTCTCGGAAATGAAATACAAGTTTCATGAAATTCACGAAATAAAGCAAAGTTGAAGTGGTTCCCCGGCAAGGCAGCATATCCTCCCCCCTTCCCCCCCCCCCACCTCCGGCAAGTGTAAACCTTGAAGTGGTTTATAAATATTCAACAAATAGGGGGAACACTACCATTCAATCCATCGTTTCATCTAATCGTCGTGTTTTTTACGTATTCGACCAATTCGCGACCTATTAATTCAAGTGAAATCACCGTAATATTAATCGGACTCACTGGTTGATGGCGTTAGTACCTGGTTGATGGGGTTCTGGGAGTTCTACTCCCCAAGCCCGGCCTTCAGGCTTGACTTGTGAGAGTTTGGTCCACCAGGCTGTTGCTTGGAGCGGCCCGCAGGCCCACATACCCACCACAGCCCGGTTGGTCCGGCACTCCTTGGAGAAAACAATCTAGTTTTCTCTTGAAGATGTCCACAGTTGTTCCAGCAACATTTCTTATGCTTGCTGGGAGGATGTTTAACAACCGTGGACCTCTGATGTTCATACAGTGTTCTCTGATTGTGCCTATCATTTTCTTCCATATCGTTCACTCCAGTACGTTGTTATTTTACTGTGTAGATTTGGGACTTGGCCCTCCAGTATTGTCCACGTGTATATTATTTGATCTCTCTCTCGTCTCCTTTCTAGTGAATACGGTTCTGGTCAGACTAAACAAATGCACTTTTTTACAGAGTGGTAAATTGTGGGAACAGTGTATGGCAGCAACACAGCACCCGGGTGAATGTGTTCACTAGAAAAACAACGCTCAGTAAGAGGGCAACACTTTCTTTGCTG